TAAAGCTGTAACGTCAATTGTTTCTTGGTGAGTGACATCAAGCGCCATCTCGTAATTGTCACAGCCAACAGGATCAACCTCTGATGTAGCAGCTACTTGCACAGCTGAAGACAGAGATGCCATGTTTGCAAGTGTATAAGCAATTGCTCGGGTTGGAAGTGGCAGACCAATCTCTCTCATACCATCAGCAATGGCCTGGAAGTTCAAGATGGTACAATCCACTTCAACGATACATTCCGGTCTGAATATTACACATAAACGGGCTGCAATGTCACAGATCCCTGGTAGTTGAAGGCGCAGCTCTAGTTCAGCTAGACTGACTTGATCATGAGGTGGGATGGCCGTTGATTCCTCTACTTTTTCTTGGTTACAGCTAGTGGTGGCTTCTAATAAGCTGCACGGGAAGAACAGCTCTTGAACACTCACGGGCACAATCGCAGTGCATGGGATGTGCACAGTAGGCTTTGCTGTATCTGTGTGTTTTCCCGTCAGGTCAAACAGACTCACTTGTCTCCAGCTCCATCCAAAGAGGCAGGATCTCATTTTGTCTATGATGTCACGCAGTTTCATGCTGCTCACAGTGGAGAGTATCGTGGACGCAGGCCCTGTTGGTAAGTCTGCCTGGTTGTTCTCCACAAGTGTGGTGATTGGTGTCTCTGTTTCTTGTACAGCTGTCATTATAAATCAGGATATAGACATCAAATTCACGTGTCATGTGTAGCACGCACTTTTCACACGACCTTCACTGATAGATCACGTGTATATTTCCCGCCATATTTCAAGGCACGGTTTGTATTTCAAACAAAAAATACAATTCCAAATACAAATGAGCCAATGAACGTAAAATTAGAGAACTAAAAAAAAATAACCAACTGTTACACCATGCTGACTTTAATTTTAAATTTCCTTTATTGTAACGAACGTTTAGAGCATTCATTATGGTAAAGCGTAAAGCAGGGAACAGAACATTGATCTACCAACACAAGTCACGTTTCCTAATAGCGCTTTGCTTAAGCATATACTATTTCATTACTTGTCATCAAGAGACCATAAATTAAGGACATCATGGTCTCTTGTGGTCATACAACCTAAGTAGGCTTCAGTACTTTCAGCCTGTCCAACTTTAAGTCCAACTTTAGTCACGGTTTGATTTAAATTTTACGTCCATTTCTTAAAGTTAAATATATATGGACTTCAACCGCAGAACGATTCTTAATCTCTTCATTTTAAAAGCAATCTTTTTCAATCTTATTATTGTGCAATGACTAAGGTTTTTGGCTTTGCTCTGCAATTTTTTCTAGCTAGCGACAAGAACGTCACGCTTAAATTGTGCAGTACATTTAATTCTCCAAAACTTACACCCGTATGCAAATCTCAAAAAAATACCTATATTTTTGAAAATGATTTCTAGATCTAAACATTGATATAAGTGCACGTAACAATTGCGGAGATTTCTATGTGCGATGCCGGGGATCTAAAGGCAAGAATCCGCCTTGCGAGGTGCATTTTACTTATCTATAGTTAAATGCATCTACGCGCACGTGAATCTTCGCTTTATGGAAAGTACACATAGACTGTAAGTGTGCAAGAACCTCCCGGGAAAATGATCCGAAAAGAATTAAGAAAAAGAGGAACAGAATATTCCCCGTTCATTTAACTCCTTTTCTCATTTCCTTCCTCTCTTGTTTCCCTGTAGATTCTTGCATTTTCAGTCTACATTTAAAAATCATCCGGACTGTTCACTTGTGGTAAGTAAAGTAGACAAGAGGACAACTTAAGAAARTCTATTTGACTTTTTAAAATTTTTATTTTCATACTATTAATGCACGTTTACTTTTATTCTATTATTATTTTATTTCTTGGTTGTTTTTAGATCTTTGTTTTCGTTTTTAGTCCCTCTCTCTTTCTTCTTCTTCTTCTGTTTGATTTTTTCCCAGCGCGCTTTTACCCTTTCTCTTCTTCCACGCGTGAAGAATCCGCATTATTCATATTGAAGTCTCGCTCCAAATTAAATGTATTACAGCTTATTTCCTAATAATTTTTTTCCAGCAAAACTACTTACAGTTGCCATAGAGCATGGTTGCTTGAGTGGAGATGTGTTCCATGTATGCTGTGGTCGAGACATGAAGAGTCTCGTCGTGGTTCACGGCGCACGGTTCTTGTAAGACAGTCTTTGGTCTTCCTGACTGTTCTTGTAGGTTTAACATCTTTGCAATGTTAACGGCAAACTTTAACGAAAGGAAACACAAAACGATTGTGAATAAATAGCTTTTTGTACCTTAGTAAAACAAGTTCACTTTTCTTTAGTTTCGTACCTGATCTCTTGCCTGGAGTTGCCTGTATTTTCCTCAGCCTCGCGAGAGATTTGCTCTCCCGCGAGTGGGTGTTGACTTCTTTTTTCTTCTACTAATTTAAATGATCTTTCAAAACGACGTACAAATATTTGTTTCTTTGGGTTTCGCGTGAGCTTGGAAGGCTTTTCTAGCTTTCTAAATACTCTTTTTGCGCTAAGTTGCTCGTAAAGCTTTCCCACTGGAAATCATTTACGAACTGGGAAAAAAGAAAGAGTTGATTCTTTTTATTACGCGGAATAGTACGTCACAAACAAATCATTTTTGCTTCAGCCAATCAGAATCGAGCACGATAGAGCGCGCAGCTCGAAACATGACGTCACAATACGAGCCTGCGGTCGAGTTGAATTCTTACAGCGGCTTTCATGGTTACCAACCTGTTCCCAGTTTCTTCTCTACCTTCGGGTAGGATAGACATTGGGAAAGAATTTGTCCAAAGACCACAGGGTTCCCAAAAACATTTAGACGTTCTATGATCTTTTCTAGATACACTGTACATCGGTTATACTAGTTTCCCTTTCTTAGGAACTAAAAAATATTTTTTTCATTTTGTTCCGTTATAACGCAACGTATATCTGAATCTCGGATTTTTTCGCCAACTATGTTGGGCTGCCTGTGGAAAGATTCAAATTCAAAATGGCGGTCGTTGGAGACAAAAGTTTGTCAACACAACCAAATCTTAGCGTAAAATTCCCTCCAAGTAATTTAGTTTTCTTTATAGGTCTTGTTTAGCTATACGAAATCTAACTAAGTTATTAACCTTTCAGCTCGCCACAAATAGTTTTTAAGAATCTAGATAAATAATTTTTTACAAGTTTTCTCTTGTTTTGGATTTTGTGGTTTCTTGTCAAATGCTCTCCCTTCGCGCGGGTCGTTGTTGTGAAGTCTAAACGATGAGTTCACCTCCTATTTCGAGCTTGAAGAAGGGAAAAAGAATGCCTCTTAATCCAAGGTAAGAACGAATACGTTTAATTTTAGCATATAATGAAAAAAATATGTCAGTAGTCATGGTGATCAATGGCTGGTATAATTTTTTCAGAAGAAAGTTTTTCTGTCTTTTATTAGTTTTATATAAGTTTACTAACTGATAGATGATAAGGTTTCTTCTGATAATTGGTCAGCCAATGTTTAATCTTTCGTCAGGAATTAAACAGTTTTTTTCCTTTTCCCTTAATTATTATAATTTTTTAAAAAATTATTTCCCTGTAGCCATCTCATTTTTATCACTTTTATCACTTTAAATGTTTAATCTTTCGTCAGGAATTGAAAAGTTTTATTTTCCTTTTCCCTAATATATATATTTATTTCCTTGTAGTCATTTGATTTTTATCACTTTAAATTCCAATAG